GGGACAAGTTAAGTGAAAGGGATTGTCCACAGAATGCATTGGAAAGGAAAAGTATGGAAAATATTCCTTACACATCTGTCGTTGGAAGCTTGATGAATGCACAAACTTGTACGAGACCAGACATCAACTTTGCAGTTGGTATGCTGGGGAGATATCAAAGTAATCCCGGAATTGAGCATTGGAAAGCTGCGAAGAAGGTGTTGAGGTATTTGAAGGGAACAAGGCAGTACATGCTAATGTATCGAAGATCTAATCAATTGGAAGTGGTTGGTTACTCCGATTCAGATTTTGCTGGTTGTATTGATAGTCGAAAATCAATGTCTGGTTACTTGTTCCTATTAGCTGGAGGAGCAATATCATGAAAGAGCGCCAAACAGACTGTCATAGTAGCATCTACCATGGAAGCTGAATTTGTGGCATGCTTTGAGGCCACAGTTCATGCATTATGGCTGCGAAATTTTATCGCAGGACTTGGAATTGTCGACAGTATTGCAAGGCCGCTGAGAGTGTATTATGATAATTCCGCAACTGTCATTTTCTCCAAGAACGACAAATATACTAATGGCGCTAAGCATATAGAACTCAACTATTTGGCCGTTAAAGAGGAAGTTTAGAAACAAAGAGTGTCTATAGAACATGTTAAGACTGAGCTCATGATTGCAGATACTTTAACTAAAGGATTACCACCAAAGACATTTAAAGAGCATGTTGATTGTATGGGTCTTGGTCTTAATCCATGAGTTTTGTTTATGGATCTCAATCTTTATGTTTTGTTCTAAGACACTAACAGAGATCTCACTTACCGTGTTTCTGATATTTTCTTGTTTTCCATGTATTACGTAATTATGGATATGGATTATTGATAACAAGAATCGTCTTTGACAAAGACATTATTGGGACATTATAGTTACTTCCCGTTATAGATTGTGATTAAGTGTTTTATTGACACTGTGGTACATGGAAGGAAAAATGTTGCTATAATGATATTTACCGCCATGACCCATGTTGGTAAGTTATTTAATTACGATATTAATGTAATCTCACTAAAAGTGCAAATGAGCTAATGTTATGCGCATATTATAGTTAACTTATCAATTCAAATAAACTGTCGTTGTCATATGGGCCAAGTGGGAGAATGTAAGAATTAATGTCCCACTTAACCAAAAAAAAACTAACATTATTTGAATTTTAAATATGAGGAAGTTATTGGCTCCTTAAGGTAAGCACGTGAGATTTTATGGGAAGTTATTTTTCCTATTAACCACGTTTATGGGGAGTGGTTTTATGGCAGTTATTTATGGGAGAAACCGTCCTCTCTCTACCTTACATATATTTTCACTGCATACCCATAATGACAGACAATAGAAAAGTCATAAGAAAATGAAGGTTAGGTTGAGAGAACAGTTCCTCTATTTTTCACGTATTTATCTTGTGTTGCAGATTTGAGAAATTTCAATAATCACCATGGATCAAGGTATGTATCTCGATCAATTTACTAAAATGTGAAAATCATAAAATTCTAAGATCTTGCATTAGGGTCAAATTTAATTGCTTATAGTGTAACTTTATAACATATAGATTGCACCAAGTTGCATTTGAATTATTGATCTTCAATAAGCATGCGAGTGGTATTAGGTGGAAAATGGGAGTGGTAGGTTGAACAGATGGAGTCAAGATTTTTAATTCAATAAAGCTTCAAGTAGAGGAAAATTTTAACAGAATGGAGAATGGATATCGACACTGACGTGGCCAAACCTGATTGACCTTTTTTTTAATATTTTCCCACTTGGGAGGCATACGACGATTAGCAATTGATAGCATAGTAGTAGCTCGCATAGATAACAACATTTGAAGGAAACCACATAGCTACATATTTTGTTAGAAACTTTATTAAAAGCATTAACTTTGAGTTAATTGTACATAAAATTTAGGGAAAATTGCAGTCGAGGTACCAAACCTTTCGTTTATTAGCAGACTTTGTCCAAACCTTTAGTTTGTACCACCCACGATACCAAACCATTTAAAAACTCGCAGTGAAAGTTCAAATGGATGGAAACTATTAATTTGACCGTTAGTTGACCAAAAATTTAGCATTGACCATTATTTTGACTAATTTTAAAGGGATAAAATGATAACTTTACATTTTTCAACCAAAAAAAATAATTACAATATATTAATAATTAAATCAAAACACAAAAACATTATTCATCTTCTTCTCCATTCACCCCCTACCCACCCACCCACCCACTCCACAAAATCAAATCCCATCAAAGCACACACTGTGTAAACAAACAAGGTTATGGGGTACCTTCGTATCTAGTGAAAGGGATCGAAGAAGATTTTGTCATCAATTTGATGGATAGTGTTTCATTTGGAAAAGCTAATGTAAACATGGGATTTCTTTCACAAATCTGGGCCATATTCATATATATTAATTTGACGGCCCATGTCATCGTTTGATATCCACTCCTTCGGGATAATCTTAGATATAGAGATGCCCTTTTCCTTTTTTAAATATGAATGTGGAGTTCATAGCTGTAAAACCTGTTAGGTGGGATCGTGTCGGATTGAATTAATTCATATAAAGTACGAACTACAGTTTTTCGCGCCTCGGTTTGTGTTGTATTAGCTTCATCGCTTGAATTTTTTAGCGATTGAGGTCGTGATATATTAGCCACCCCAGATAAGAGAATCGAGGAACAAGTAAGTTCTGGCATTTTGGTGGGATTTGGATTTGTGGAGTGGGTGGGTAGGGGGTGAATGAAGAAGAAGATGAATAGTGTTTTTGATTTAATTATTAATATATTGTAATTATTTTTTTTTTGTTGAAAAATGTAAAGTTACTATTTTATCCTTTTAAAATTAGTCAAAATAATGGTCAATGTTAAATTTTTGATCAACTAACGGTCAAAATAACAGTTTCCATCCATTTGGATTTCCACTGCGAGTTTTTGAAAGGTTTGGCATCGTGGGTGACACAAACTAAAGGTTTGGGCAAAGTCTGCTAGCTCGCATAGATAACAACATTTAAAGAAAACCACATAGCTACATATTTTGTTAGAAACTTTATTAAAAGCATTAACTTTGAGTTAATTGTACATAAAATTTAAACAAAAAAAAAAGGGAAGAAAAATCAGTCAACAACACTTTATTTAAAAAAATCAAGTTTTGATTATATTGATTCTGAAAAATCGAAAAATTTTAAAAATAAATAGAGAACATAGTTACCTATGTATATAAATACAAAAATAAAATGACACAAAATACAATAAATTCATTCCAAATAAAAAAAGTGAACAAAAACACAATTATGTTTAAATAACTATAAATAAATAAACAATTCAGCATTGGGGTCGTCTTCTTTGAATCTCTTGAAAATGGCCATGCATTCAACCAATCTTTGACCAGATTTGTGCCTAAAAGAAAGAAAGTGTTTTTCTTTTAGAATTTGGAATTAAAAATGAATGAAATGTTTAAGCCTGAATGATTAGATTGGGTTTTAAGTTAGTATTTTGCCAACTTTACTCGTCAAAAAATTAGTTTGTGCACTTGAAGTGAGGAAAATTTAATTATTTTAAGAGGAAATATGCAAATAGAAGTTACGGTTGGGAAATGAAAAGTCCCATTTTAAAGGTTGAGATGAATTTGCAAAAGACGCTGATGATTTGTTGAGTTGTATTAAATCACTTGTATTATTTCTGAAGTAATATAATATTTTAGATAATGTAGAAGAACTAATGAAGAATTTGTGCATTGAATTGGCACAATATGGCACCAAGTCAATCTGATTAATGGTTCCAAATGAAACTAAAGCATGAGGTAGAGGTCGAAATGGGCAATTTTCTTTGTCAATAGATAGTGGTGTAAATTAGGCCGTGTCACTTCACCGATACGAGCTAGATCAAATTCTAGTATGGTTTTGGAATTTCTTGAGATGTTTTCTCGTTTGAGAAGATTTGGAATTGGATGGAAAGGTGGAAAGTGAAAAGGCACAGATTTAGGGATTATGCATAAATTTAGTGAATTGGGATGCTTTTACCTTTTGATTTTATTGTAATAATATAGTATTTGTGGCGAAAAAAGTTGTAAAGTAATATTGGAATATTAATTAAATGATAATTAGGAGGCGTAATTTCCACGTGTTTTTATAGTGTTTCATAATATGCTCTCTATCTATGTCATTCAAGTTGGGCTTCTTGGCCAATTTCATTTTTGGACGTTAGCTTTTTATATTAAGGAAATTATGCCTGGCATTGTATATTTCATATTAAAGATGTTGGCTTTCTTTTTCTAAAATACATTGTCTAGCTGGCAGCTGAAAACACCATTGACCAGCAACACCCCCACCTTCACCGACATCTCCGACACCACGTTTCAGCCTTCAACTGCCATCGTTGTCCACCACCATCTCGCTAAAAATTTGGATTAGACTACCACCATCTACCTCCACACATTTCGTCGCGGATTGAGATCACTACCATAAACCATAACCTAAAATTTTTGTATGGTTTGAAATTGAAATTTAATTTTTTTTTTTTTTTTTTTTTTTTTGTGTTTCTATACAGAAAAGGGAGCATCATGTTAACTACAAGTATGGCGTTTTTTACTAGAGGAAATATTCCTCGTGCTTATGTAGCGTCAAAGCATGCAGTCGTAGGGCGTATGAAGAATCTGTCCATCGAATTGGGGAAGCACTGGGATGAGAGTGAATTGCATTTCTCCTTTTGCTGTTGCCACAAAGCTGAGATGGAACTGTTTCAAATCAAGGAAAAGCAAAAGCTTGAGGAATTTGTGTTTAAAGTCGCAAACTTAAAGGGGGTACTCTCAGAGGCAAATGATGTGGCTGAGACTGTCGTGCCCCCCGTCTGATCTAAGATCATGTGCATAT